AAAACAATAGCAACAACAAACCCCAAATACAGATGATCTTTTGACCTGCTACTGTATGGTTATCTTTCCATAAAGGGGATAATTTCAGTATGCTGTGCAATTATTTCTACTCATTCAGTCCTATTCCTACTTGAATCCTACCGCAGGCTAAAATATGCCAAGATCCTTCATTAACATATCATAGATTTTCTTTTCAGTATAAATCAAACTAAATAGGTCATGATTGCTTAATCAGTATGCAAAGTATTGCCTCTGGGAATTACCTTCAATCCTCTGACAGCTAAAATTCTTTTTAGTGCTTTGAAATTTAATTCTACCCAACCTAACCCTACCCAGCTCCTCATTCCCTCACATCAAAATTTTCATCCTATGAGGCATAGATCTTGTCCTAGAATGGGTACCATGGCACTAACAGCAGGGATTTAATTAATTCAAGGGGAAAAAAGATTCTGTAACCAAGCCCCACCACCACCACCATATGATTAAGACCTTTCCCCACCCCCACCTGGGCAGCCAAGAAAAGAGGGTGGGAGAAAGGTGCGCTCCTGAGATTATGTTACTGATATATTTAGGCCTCCCTCTTAAGAAAGGATTGATTCTTCCTTACAAAGGCAGGCTCACAACATTCCTAAAAGAGCGAGGAGTCCATGATCATCCACATTTATTAAACAGTGTCTGAAGAACTCTCGTGTAGTCCTGTAGCTTTCAATGACATCAATACGCAGATGACTCCCCATGTTTATTTCCATCCCTAACTCTTCCTCCGAGTGGCCCTCTCGACATAGAAACCTGTTTGTCACCAAAACAGAATTCTTGGGTCTCCCCCACCAGACTTGTTTTCTAGAAGAGCAAACAGGCCTACAACGTATCAGATACCATTCTGCCTGCTTTACAAATATGAACTCATTGAATCCTCACTACCTGTGAGATAGGTACTAATAGGATCTCATCTCACCGATCCTGGGACCTAGATTTCAATCCAAGCAACTGGAGTCCAGAGCCCACGCGCTTAGCTGTGATGCATGTAATACCCACTGCTGTACACAGTCCCAATGCTCAATTGGCTGCCCCGTCAAAGATCCGACAGTCACGTTTGATCCCTCTATTTGCCTCCTGTCCCACCCCCAAACCTTTGGGAAATCCCCCCGGCCTGGCCTCCACATCCTGTCCCCTCTCTGTCCCTCACTATCAGCACCAACGTGGACTACTACAACAGTCTCAGAAAGGATCTTCCAGTCTCCGCTCCTGCCTCTCCCCATTCTGTATAACACAAAGAAACCAGAGTGATTTTTTTTAAAAAGGTGAATCGGAACAGATCACTTCCTGCTTCAAATCCTCCAGTGGCACCCAGAGCCCTTGGAATAAGACCCCCAGTCCTCCCCACAGTCTGGGAGGCCCGCCAGGCCCAGACCTCCACCCCTCTCACTACCCCGCAAAACCACTCCTGGCCTCGGGGTCTTTGCAGCAACTTTTGCCTCAGCCCCAAAGCTCTCCCCTACATCATCACAAGACAGGATCCTTCTGACACACGGGTGTCAGCTCAGAGTGACCTCCCGGGACAGCACTAGGACAGGACTTCCCTCCCTGGGACTCTGTCACAGTCACCCCTGCTCTCTCCTCTAGCCTGTCACCCTGTGCTGTTCTCATCACCGTACTCCTGACAGCTCTTCCTACGGTGGCTTTGTCACGGGTTTTATGCTCCTTTCTCCCTCAACACTCTTAAGTCCCCACTCTAGGGACTTTGTCCACCTTGTTGAGTCCCACATTCCGAGGGCTAAGATTAGCTCCTGGGTAATAACGACTAATAGTAGACACACGTAAAGACTTGTTGGGTAAATGAACTGTCATGATCCTTTGAACGGCTTTCTAGTGCCTCTGAAGTAAGAGTAACTCTATTAACAGATACCACGAGGCCCTGTGCAAGCCCCGGCCACTTCTGCCTGCTGTCTCCACAATGCTAATGAACTGGACTGCTTTCCCGGGGGACAGGGAGGCTTCTCTCCTTCTGGCCGTCACCAGGCTGGGCCTCCCCCAGGAGGCTCCCCCTGCCCCTCCTGGCCTGCTGAAGCATCTGTCTCTTGCCTTGAAAGACCTTCCCTGAGACCCCAGGTAGGGTTCAATCTCCTGCTTCATACATAACACTCTATTTTCCTTCACATCACTCCTCATACTTACCGTTTAACTGGGTATTCGGAATAACTTGTAAAATACACACAAACAAAAACCAAACTCTGTTTTCCTGACTAGTCTTTCAACTCCATAACCCTAGGGAATAAATCTATTCATTCGACAAAAAGCTTGATACTAACTAGACTGCCTGACTATAAAACCAACTTGTTTTTCAAACATGAGAAAACCAGAGACTATATATTCTCCCGTGTGGGGGGAGGCTACCCACCCTCCTTGAACTTGCTCACTCTAATTCCACATCTCCGACGACTGTGAATCTCTCCCCACCCTGCCCCCTCAGACCTAGGGCAAACTTGACGTACCCTCTGCCCAGATACGGGCTGCTCCGTCCCTCCCGTCAGCAACGGGAGAGCCAGAGTCGTCCTGCCCTCTGTTTGCTTAGCCCACTCCTGCGGTGTGGTTAGGGAGGCCAAGCAGAAAGATCCTGCCTGGGTCTTACACCCCAGAAGGCAGTGCAGATCAGTGTGGCAGGAGGTGCCCAGGACCAGGACACTGGAGCTCGCTCTGCCTCCCTCTGTCAGGACCACTAAGTGGTCTAAGCTACCAAAGTGCAAAGACAGAAGCCAAAACTACTGACGGAGAAGCTCATTTAATTAAGCACCTAAAATCCAGCTCTCCTTTATAGGACATTGTTCCTATAGTGTGGTAATATCTATTTTAAATTGATAAACACCCCCAGCGGTCTCTTATCGTCTTCCATAATTGTCACCATCGGGCTGGGGAAGGTTAATCTGCCTCTGGAGATAACTCGATGGGCTCCCTGGCTCCATCCTGCCCTACTCTGGGCTGTGCCCTGACACAGTCTGGATGAGCTCTTGGGGGACGCAAGCATAGGAGCAGATAGGACTACAAGGCTGTGATAGGGGAAAAGAACATTCTCCTTTACATGGAGCCCAGGGGAAGCAGAGTGGGGAGACATCAAGTTCCTTTTAGATGGAACTCTTCATACGAAGGGCACCTTCGCTGAGGTCTGAGGGCTTAGTTCTCAGTGACCAGCATGCAAAGCTGACCGCCAGCAAAACAGAAGCAACTGCTGCTCATCAGTGGTACTTACTCCTCTTGCCAGGCCTATCTATGTCCGGGAGAAAAACTGATTTCCACTAAAATATTAGGAATGTAATAACTTTACCATCCAATGGATAATGCCAGGGAAGAAAATGCATAACACGAAGACAAAAACTAGGGGCTAATGTTAGGGCTAGGGATAGGAACTTTCTCCATCAGCCTCTAGCCCCCAACTCACAAAAAAAGAAAAATTACATCATGATGTGGGTTCCTTCTTCCCTTTGATACGAGAACACCTCGCAAGCAAAATATTTTAAGTCATTAGGAAAGCACCACAATAGTTGAATATTTCATGTATTTAAAAAGTAATCCAATAAAAGTATGATTGCAGAATACCCAAAGTATTCTGTATCTTGCCTAATATTAGACAAAAAGATAATGGGGAAGCCAAAACCATTTCTGGTGGTGTGAGCAGGAAAAACTCACTTTTCCTGTGTGTCTCCTTTGCTCTTGGGCCGACTACCACACTCACAACACATCCGACACCAGAAGCATGCTTTTTCCCTCACCAAGCAATTCTGTGACACCAGCTGGGTATCCTAAATTTTAAGGCACCGCATACCCGGAGAGAGTGTCAGCTCCCACAGGTGAAAGGCTCAATCCTACAAGAGCACCCCCCTCATCTCACTTCAGATGCCAATGGCAAGTTCAGGCTATCACCTGTGTGCTTCTGACCAATGGGCAATAAATCGGAGGTTTCCATGACCTCCTTCTCGAGTTTGATTAATTTGCTAGAGTGGCTTACAGAACTCAGGAAAATGTTTCCTTACTAGATGACTGGCTTATTATAAAAGGATATGACAAAGGATACAGACAGGGCGAGGTATGTGGGGAGGCCTGTGGGGCTTCCATGCTCTCTTCTGGTGCACCCCTCTCCCAGCACCTCTCTGTGTTCATCAACTCAGAAGCTCCGTGGATGCCATGTTTTGGGGATTTTTATGGAGGTATCATCGTATAGGTATGACCAGTCATTAACTCCATTTCCAGCCCCCTCTCCCCTCTCTGGAGGATAAGGCACAGCGCTGCAAGTCCAAGTTTCTAATCATGGCTTGGTCTTTCTGGTGACCAGCCCCCCCATCCCAGAGCCACTGAGAGTCACCTCATTAGAACAAAGGATACTGCTGCTATTCTGGAAATTCCAAGAGATTTAGGGACTCTGTGTCAGGAACCAGGGATAGAGAGCAATACATATACACACACACACACACACACACACACACACATATTTCTATTATCTCATATGGCCTTATCCCAGCTCTAAATATTCCCTAGAGTAGAAGGGATGAAAAGCACATCCCCAAAGTACAAGCACTTCTTTTTAAATTAATGGGCAACAAGTCTGTACTAAACCTGCCAACCACTTGGTATAGAAACTGAAAATCCGTAGTGAATCCCAAGTATTCTGAGGAAAAAGCACCTGTCCGTTTAGAATTGTATGAGAAAACATAAAGAAAAAAAAATCTATTTAACAAATGCTTAAAAATATAGAATACAGAGAAAAAATACAAACCCATAAAAGTCATCTGGTGAACAGTTTAATTTCATGAAGCTACTTTTTAGAGTCTGCATCATGCAATGTATTTAATGATTATTCATATTTATTTTATTTCTAGAGAAAATATTTTTCCTAGCCACAAGTACCAAATCAGCCTCATAGGAAAAAAAATAAAATAAATAAATAAAAACCCAGAAGAGGTGAGAGACAGCGGTAAGTGATTTTTTAAACATTCCATTGGGATACTTACGCAGCTGTGGTCTGCACGTCGTACCAGCTTCTGCTGAAATTCTGTTTTAATTCATTCATCAGGTTCATGCCGAGTTTCTGTTTTATCTCAACCAGATGCCTTTCTTTCGCTGATAAAACTTGCCGTAATGTTGTGATTTCGTCTTCTAGCTACAGATGGGAGGGAAGGCGGTGTGGAAAGATGTGAGGGCAGCTGAAACACACACCTGCAAAGCGCTTGGTGCTCCAAAGCAACCCTCTGCACACTGTCCTATTACCAGGCCCTCGCTTACCTATAGCAAACGCAGCCCACGGGCATGACGGTCTGGTATTTTAAAATAGAAACAGATTATTTTAGTTTTAATGATTATAAAAGTAATCACTGCTCCTTATAAAAAATTCACTCAAACAGCAAAATATAAACAAGAATGATAAACCTATAACCCACTAGGAAATAGCTGCCACTTGATTTTTTGGCTTCTAATCTTCCAAATGTTTTAAAAAACAAAAACAAAAACAAAAACTCAGGGCTTGAACTCACAACCCTGAGATCGAGACCTGAGCCGAGATCAAGAGTTGGATGCTTAACTGACTGAGCCACCCAGGTGCTTCCCCCAAATGTTTTTTTTTAATACTGTACATAGATATAATTTTTGAACAAAAAGTTGGCTTTGTACTGTATGCCTTTCTCCTATAAGCAACTTCAAGTGTCACTGGTCGGTACCGTGTGTTTATCTTTTGCCCATCACACATCACTGCACTGCTGCAGGCACAGACTGAGCAGACACTGTGGTTTTTGCCAAGCTAATGCATCAGGAAGGGAGGAACAAGGGAGGACAGCATGTATACAAGGACGTGATTTGTGTTGCTTTTTCTTTTTAACAGTGTATTGACAAGTAACTGATGTACAATAAACCGCCCACATTTATAGTGTATAGTCTGTAAGTTTTGACATGTGTGTTACTCTTGTGAAGTCATCACTGCAATCAAAACAGTGAACACATCCATCACCTCCAAAAGTTTTCTAGGTCCTCTTTGTAAGTCGTCCCTCTTTCTTCTCTCCCCTCCTCCAGGTAGCCGCTGATCTTTCTTTCACTCCACAGCTCATTTTTGTGTGGCTTTGTTCACTCAGTCTAATTATTTGAGATCTTTGAGATTTATCCATGTTGCTGCATTATCAGGGGTTCTTCCCGTTTTATTGAAGACTGGTATTTCATTGTATGGACAGTGTGTTACCTATTCACCTGGTGAAGGACATTTGGGTTCAGCCAATGCAAATAAAGCTGCTATGAACACTCATGTACAAGGTTATGTATGGACATATTTCCTCTTTCCCCTGTGTTAGCAGAAAAGCAAATCTCATAAAATTGCTCTTGCTCACTATGTAAAACAGTATGGAGATCCCTCAAAGAAATAGAACCACCATACCACCCAGTAATTTTCCTTCTGGGTATTCATTCAAAGAAAATGAAAACATTAACTCAAAAAGATACATACAGGGGCGCCTGGGTGGCTCAGTTGGTTGGGCGACTGCCTTCGGCTCAGGTCATGATCCTGGAGTCCCTGGATCGAGTCCCGCATCGGGCTCCCTGCTCGGCAGGGAGTCTGCTTCTCCCTCTGACCCTCCTCCCTCTCATGCTCTCTGTCTCTCATTCTCTCTCTCTCAAATAAATAAATAAAATCTTTAAAAAAAAAAAAAAAGATACATACACCCCCATGTTCACTGCAGCATTATGTACAATAGCCAAGATATGGAAACTGGCTAAGTGTCCACTGATGGATGAATGGAGAAAGAAAATGTCAAACACACACACACACACACACACACACACACACAGGAATATTATTCAGCCATAAAAAAGAAGGAAATGTTGCCATTTATGGCATGGATGGAACTTGAGGGTATTATGCTAAGTGAAATGTTATCAGACACAAAAAGACAAATACCATATGATCTCATTTATATGTGGAATCTAGAAAAACCAAAGCAAATGAAAACAAGCTCATAGATACAGAGAAGAGACTGGTGATTGCCAGAGGGGAGGGATGCGGGGGGTGGGGGCAGTGGGCGGGGAGGGGTGGATGAAATGGGTGAAGAAGGTCAAAAGGTACAAACTTAGTTATAAAATAAGTCACATGCCAAAAATTGCTCTTGCAAATGTAATTTCTAACAAAGCAGTTCTGTAAAAAGCCCAGATTTTAGAGAATGTTGCTATAACCTATGAAAATCAATTTGAAACTCCATAAAGTCTTTGATTCCAATTACTGTATTTTATTCTGTTGTCATACCTTATAATGTATTGCCCTGGTAAGACCGCTTAAATTTACATCGTTATTTTCTGAACAGTGCGAATGACTGACTTTCTTTGTGAAGCCAGAAGAGAACTATTAGTACTCCCTTAGCATCCCACATGCATAGGGGTCATAAAAAGCCTGACAGTTTTACTAGATTTCTTATTTTTACAAATGTGGCAGCTGTGTCTCATTTACATTCAGAGTATCGCTCTACTTCTGACCACAAACCACATTTACACTAACACCATCAGTCATCATGCAAATATGTTCCTTGGGTTACCAGGGATATAGCTGCGAGAAAAGCCTCTCAAGAAACACAAGTACCTTTGCCTTTTTACTACTGCAAGGAAGATTTTACCCCAATGGTGGACAGATCGGAATACTGTTGTGAAGCTTCACGGACATAAATAATCACGTAAGCAAAACAGGCATAATTCCAAGTCGGAAGCATCTTAAAGACCACGGTAGAAAAGAACAATCTCTTGGAGTTTTTAATATCAGCAAATGTCCTAGTAATCTAGCATTATTCATTTCTTATGTTTATGGGACAGTTTTCTAATACTCACAGAAATCTTTCTAAAATGAATTACACATTCCATAAACATGTTATAGTCAGCACTCTTTTCTTTTTTTTTTTTTTAAAGATTTTATTTATTTATTTGAGAGAGAGAGAATGAGAGACAGAGAGCATGAGAGGGAGGAGGGTCAGAGGG